AACCGAAGCATTTAATATCTTTGCCCCTGGTGTTCAGTAAGCTATTCGTAAGAACGGCTTTCCTAGGGCCAGGCCTGCTTTCTCTGCCTGAGCCCTCTTTAACCGTCCCCTTCCTCGACCTCAGGCCAATTTTTTTTTTTTTTAAGTCGCTTCTCAGGAGAGAGAAAGCTTTTTAGAACCTCACACCCAGCGAAATCCGTCCTTAGTAAAGAAGGAAATACTCAAGATGAATGGTGAAGCAGGGCCTTTGAAAGCGGATTTAAGTACTTTTAATATTGAAATCGTGCAAATTAGCAAAAGAATCGCACCTAAAAGTGGCCTGCGCTGGCCTGCCCCTCACTCACCCCAGACTCCCCGGCCCGCCCTCCGCGGAGCCTCATTTCTTTCGGGTTGGCTGCCCGGGGCTCTACGCCTGCCCAGCAAACAGAGGAAAGAGCTCGCTTCTCTCACTCCCGGGGCCGAGACCTGGGACTCGTCCCCCTCTCGCGCGCTGGGCGCTGCGTCCCCGCTCGGTGCCTCCTGGGGGTCGGCTCTACCAGAGGTCCATCCCTCCCCTCACTGCGGTCTCCCTGGCCGGGGCTCTAAACTAGTCCCTTCCTCCAAGTCTCACTGGAGCTTCAAAGGAGGGCTCTGCTCATACTACCGCGGAGCTCCGGGAGAAAGTGCATGCTTCTGGGCAAGGGAAGGGGGCCAAGGGAAGAAACAGTGAGCCTTACCAAATTGTCCAGCTCTGGATTTGAGGAAAAAAGTGGCTTCTCGGCACGAACCTGTAAGAAGCAGGGCAAGTCAGCATGAATTATCACTCCATTTAAAAGGAGGGAAAAACCCAAACCCTGTCACCTACTAGTGTGTGAGAGGGGATGGTGGAGGGACCGGCAGTGACAGAGGAGAGGGGCTTTTGGTAAATTACTACACGAAACAAACTAGTGCCTTAAATTAGTAGGGTCAGCTGAAAAACACTCAGGGCCTTATGATCCTGGCCCCATGAAGGGGTCCCTAGAACCGCTGAACTGTAGCCGGGAACCCAGAGCCGAGCTCTGGGCCCCAGCACTCCCCTATTGTGTCGTCCACGGGAGCCCAGGCTCTCAGCCTCCCTCACCTCTGCGCCCCGCGCGGACCGGACCGCCCGGAGAGGCGCCCAGCTTCCTTCCCTCCGGGGCACTTTCGGGTCCCTAACAGCCCTTGTCCCCAATTCTTGTTCAAGTAGCTGCAGGCGGGGGAAAAGGCCAAGCCCTAGATTAGGAGCAGGTCAATTTTAATTCGAGGGTCGAGCCCCTGTATTCCTGGCTGGGGGGGAAAACAAACACCCATATTTATCTCCGCTTCCAATTCGCCTCCAGGCTCAGGGATGGGGAGGAGGCGTAGAGCGCGGACTGGGCCGGAGGAACAGATCGGGTGTCCCTGCCTTTTCCTCCTCTTTCATGTAACGCTCAGAGGGGAGGGGAGGAGGGTAATGGGGCTGCCGAAGGGTGAGTGGGTCAAGAAGGTTGGACCTGCTTGGCGAAGACCGCGATGTCCTCGTTGAAGGAGTCGGAGGAGCAGACGTCTCCGCCAGCCACTCCGGGTTCCCGGGGAGTGCAGGTCGCCAGCTCGCACTTCTCAAAGACCAGAGCTAACAGAGGAAACAACGGGTGCCTAACGGGCAGCGCCAAGCAGAGACACACACACGGAGATGGGGTGCAGAGGGGAAGGAGCAAGAACTGTAATCAACAAGTTTGGAGGGTTCGAATTCCTTCTTTAACACAACAGGCACGCATCACACTTGACAACCCTTCCTCAGCCAGCCGAGCTTGGGCCAGAAAGAGAAAGGAAAAACGGCCTGGCTCTTTCCCTCAGCTCAGGAGTCCTTCGGATCTGCTGGGAGAAGCCCCTGGACCCTTTAGCCCGCCAAGTAAAAAGAGCCTCCTTTGGAGCGTAAAGAAACGTCCAAGAAGCTCAGGCAGTCTGGGGCCTGGAGTGCATCCAGACCCACTCCCCACGCTACAGAGGCCGCCGAACCAACCCCTGAGACCCAGCGCTGACCTCCCAAGAAAGCAAAACTGTGCGAAATTTTTTTAAAAAATTGCCTTGACCCCGCATTTTAGTGGGCATTTTAGCCAAAGTCTTCACCTTCATACACACCAAAGGTGATATTTCCTAAATCGGAGAGAGGGCTCTTCTAACCCCTCCACCTCTTGCCTTATAAACTTGTTTGCTCTACTTCTAGTAAAGCCCAAGGTGGGGGCCAAAGTAACAGGAATCTTAAACGCCCAAGAGCTGCCTTCCAAAGACACATCTCTCCATAGGCAAAAAGAAGTAAATCGAGTGTTAAAACTTGGAAGCCTGCGTGCGCGCCTGCCCTTTGTGTTCCTCCGGGCGGTTTAGCTACACTCCGGGATGCTTGCGGCCTCTGGCTTCAGGCTCAATTGCTGTGGACGGACTGTCCCCTCCCCTCGGCATCCCGCAGCCTTCCCCACCTACCCTCCGCTGGGAGAGCCCGAGTGGTACGCGTGTGGACTCTGCATCCCCATCCCTCCTCGAGTGCTCTGAGAATATAAAATAATTTCCAGCCAGCCTCCTCACTCCCCCCAAGAGCCGCTTTTTGCAAGCGGCAGCCCCTTCCACCCGGCTGCACTTCAAGGTCTGCCCCCTTTATTTACAGAGAATTAAGAAGAGGGTGATTAGGACTTCCTGGCCGACAGAAGCAGCCCTGATCCCAGTTCAAGCTGTATTTAGTGACTCCCAGACTCTCGGTAGGAAACACAAGAGAAAAAAAAAGTTGCTCCTCATCGGCAGGAAACTTTCTCCTTCGCCAAGGCCTCTCTTAGGGCGCCTGGAAGGACCAGCTCTGCGTCCTTTGGCCAGGACTCTCGTCCTTGGGGAGAAGGCCTTGGCAAGATTCTGAAGACTCAGTCATTCCGGGTTGTGGGGTCCGGAGTGACAGGGCCTGAGGGTGGAAGGAGCCATACCTTCTGGGGGCTTGCACCCAAGGGGCAGGAGAACAGGCTCCCTGCACTGTCCTTTCTTAAGGCAAGCTGTGCCCCCTTCTACAGGCAGAAGTAACTCCCCACTTAGGCGTCCATCTCCTCAATTCCCCCCGAGAGACAAACACACACTCGAACTCACACTGACAAAAAGTACGCCGGGTCAGGGGTGGGGGTGGGGGTTACCCATAGATCGCGTCCTTGTCCCGCTTCAAAGCGTCGTTGACAGCGGATCCCATGCTGGCCGGCATGACATTGGGGTGCGGGGCGTGCGCGCCGTAGTGCTGCGTGGCGTGGAGCGGCGGCCCGTGGTTCAGGTGGTGAACCGGTGGGATCGGCCGCGGCGCGTGAGGGTCTCCGTACATGGAAGCAGGCACCCCTACTCCGTCCATCCCGCCGTAATGGGGCAGCTCATCGTACTGTCAGAGCCCGGCAAAGGGGAGAGGGGCGCAGGAGGTGAGAGAGAGCGAGGAAAGCGGAGGAGAAATAGAAAAAGAAGCAAGGAGAAAGAGCAAGAAGAGAAGTGGGAAAGGAATGGAGGTGAGAAAGGGAGAACAACCCGAAGGGAAGATGAGAGGAGGGGGGAGGCAATGAGGGGGGGAGAGAGAAGAGAAGAGAAGAGAAGAGAAGAGAAGAGAAGAGAAGAGAAGAGAAGAGAAGAGGAGAGAAGAGAAGAGAAGAGAAGAGGAGAAGAGGAGAAAATAAAAATAAAAACAAAGTCAGAAAGGAGAAAAGTACCGAGCACGAGTTGAACACACAGAAACCAAACCAGCCGAAACGACAGAGTTGAAAGTTGGGGAAAACGTTTTTAAATTTAAAAATGGTAAAGTCTGAACCATGAGCAGCATTTAGAGCAGGGAGAGGGGGCGGGAGGCCGGGGACCCAGGGGGTGCCGGGAGGTCCTGCTCAGGCCGGAGGCAGCAGAACCCCAGCGAGCCAACCGAGGGAGAAGTGGAGTTAGTGTGAGGAGGAAGCCCCGGATCCCACCCCTAACCCCCCTTCGCCTCCTCCAGAGGACCCAATAAATCAAAAGGCGAAATGAAACAAAATAAAGAGAAGAAAAACGTTAATAATCAGGACGAGAACGCCGAGGACAAGGGAAGACTGGGGCCAGTGCCTCCCCGGGGGCAGGGAGCTGAGGGTGGGGGTGGGGGGGAATAACGTGAAAGTTACCAGAAACATTATTTAGCAGCTGATTCCCTGCGTCCTTGTCAATTTCAGAGACAAAACAAGCAGCCCAGGCTAGTCTAGGCGGCGGCGCAGCGGCTGCGGCAGCGCGGCCCCAGCGGCGGCCCCGGCGGCGGCTCCTACGCAGCCGGTGCCCGCCCAGAGCCGCGGGAGCAGCGGCGGCAGCGGCGGCAGCAGGAGAACCGGGGGAATCGCGCTGCTCGGGGTAAGAGCTGGAGCGAGGCGAAAGCGTGTAACAATTGCACACGCACACACACCACTCACACGCACTCGCCGCCCGCCCGCTCGCACAGCGCTGGAACACGCGCGTCCAGACACGCACACACGCACGCACACACACTCGCACACACGCAGAGGCACGGGGGGGAAAGAAGCCGATGAATAATTTTGCTGCTATTTTTTAAAATGCTGGCCGCCATCATCAAGCAGCGAGCAGCAGCAGCAGCGTTGAAGGGAGAGGAAGCATCGGGACAGGCCCCTCTTAGGAGAGGATTTATATCTAGGTAAGTGTTGGAGATTTAAACCTACCCTTTGCGCCATCAGTCTGCGCTCCAATAAACTCCTGGATGTGTCGTATATTTAATATCCCAGTCCGGATAAGAAAGTGATCTAGGCTGAAGATTCCTTTTTTTTTTTTTTGTCCAAACCAAGGAAACTTCTCCCAATTCTCCAATATGTTATTTTTTAGGGAAGAAAAAAAAAGCCCAGGCAAGACAACGAAGAGTTTTTTTTTTCTGTGATATTTCTTCTTTTTCTCTTTTTTCCTCTTCTTTCTCCTCCTCCTGATCTTCCTCCTCCTCCTCCACCTCCTCCTCCTCCCCCCTCCCCTCCTCCTCCTCTTCGGTCCTCCTTTCCCCCTCTTTCTCTTCTCTTCCTCTCAGTTGGAAAAAAAAAAAAAGGAAAAGAAGAAAAAAAATTGTCAAGCCCCCGAACTGAAGGTTACGAGCGGCCCGTCAGCAGCCCACATGTAACCGAACTGTCGTGTTTCATGGCTTTTTGCCACTCCAGCTGTCAATCAAAGCCCGGAATGTCAAGGTAGTGAATGAATGATGGTTGATGATGATGAAGAGGAGGAATCTTTCAGACCCTTTTTTTTTCTTCCAGCAAAACTCCGCGAGGGGTTTCTGCTTCTTGAATTTTTCCTCCCCCCTCCCCCCTTTCTTAGCTTTGCCCCCGAAGTGTCTATAATATGCTCCTCTCTCTTTAAAGTATCGGTCAAAGAAAGCAGGGGTGGGGGAATCAAGAAAAAAAAAGAATAGTTTGCAAAAATTGGACTTTCTTCCCCCCCTTTCCTGGTTGGTATTTTGTCTCTCCCTCTCTCTCTTTCTCGCTCGCTCGCTCTCACTCGTGCTCGCTCTCTCGCGCTCGCTCTCTCACGCTCTCTTTCTCTCTGGGAGATGAGTGAGTGTCAGTAGGTGTTGGCAGGTTGGCTGCTGCCTGGCTTATAGAAGAGCCTCAGTTTGGCGGCGCGGGTCGGCGGCGGGAGAACGAAATGACGGAACCCGGAAGTCGTGGTGGCCATAGCCCGTCGTACGGCGGAGACACATCCCGGGAGTGGGGAGCGGGAGCGAGGAGGAGCGCGCCGCGCCGAGCCTCTGATATGCAGCGAGTGCGGTCGGACTGCCCAGGCTGGGGGGGCGGGGGGGAGGGGAGGCAGGAGCCGAGCAAACCCGAGCAAATCAGCAAGCCAGCTCCTCCGCGGGGACGGCTGGGGGTAGGAAGCGGGGGGAGAGGGGGAGAGAGGGAGAGAGAGTGTTTATGTATGCGCGCGCGCGCGCGTGAGAGAGGAAAGAGGGAGAGAGAGAGCGAGGGAGAGAGAGAGAGAATATGAAGAGGACAGGGAGAGTGCAGAGAGGAAAACTGCAGAAAACCACAGGGAAAGTACGGTACAGCCTCAGATCTTTTAATTTTTTGAAAAAGAAACTTACTTCTAGTTTATTTTCCCATCACGCCGGGCTCATGCCTAACGGGGTCGTGTTGGGGACGTTTGGCATGGCGCTCTTGCTTTTGTTCCTTTTAATTCCGCGGGCCCCTACTCTTCTGCCAGCCGAGTATCGCGGCCCGAAGGCTTTCTGCTATATCCAAGGGCAGCAGGCTCTGCAGACGGTACCACCGCCAGGCTTGAGGTGGTGTGTTTTTGTTTGTTTTTGTTTTTTCCCTTGTAAGTGGTACTTTCTTTCCTGTGCAGATCCAGGACCTTTGTCAGCATTCATTTTTTCCAGGACACGAAGAAACCAGCTTAACTCAGAGAGCATTTTCTCCAAGCGATGCGAACAAGGGCCACCGTGGAGAGTCTTTGGGGGCCTCAGCGGAATCGGGTGGGAGGAAATGGGGAGGGAGTCGTTTAGGTGTTTGATGTTGGATTTCGCCAAGGGGTGTGTGTGTGTGTGTGAGTGTGTGTGTGCGCTCGTGCGCGCGCGTGCGCGCGCGCCTTTAAACTAGATCTCACTTAGAGCTGGGGAGCACGAGAGAAAGAGAGGGAGAGAGAGGATGTCAAGCGAGGAGGATTGGCCGGCACTCCCCGCCCAGCTTTGTTGTGGTTACCGGGGGCGCTGAGGCTTCGGCGCTGTAACAGCGGCTAATGGCTGAGTTAATTACACTGGGCAGTTTCGTGGGATCGGGAAGATAGGGTCTACTCGGAGTGAACTTTTCCAAAAAGGAAAAGGAGAGTGCAGGAAAGGCAAGGTAACTATCCCAAATCATTTGTGTAAGAAGTAGTTCTGGCCGGTGTCTCGCCCTACCGTTGGCCGGAGCTGCACCCAGCCCGAACTGCACCTCCGCGCCTCGGGTTTCCAGGCGGCCGCGCGTCAATCACTCCGAGCCAGAGATGGGGGCGGAGCTACGGTCACCCAGCGCGCGCAACCGAGCAAACCCCGCCGCCCCTTCGGCCAGCGGCAGCCGTGCAGCCCGGCCTTGCGCTCGGAGCGAGCCTTCTTCCCAACTCCTCACTGACGCCTGCGTTTCTGGTCCCCCGCACAGAGAATCGAAAACAGACTGTTACTCAACAGCCGCTTCCCTCTCCAACTTTGAACCCATTGTGGGGAGTAGAAAGTAGCATATCCACCGCGCGGCTTTGACCTGACTTCCCGGGGGATGGAGGGCGCAGTGAGAATCGTGTGTGTGGGGGGGGCGCTGGAGGGGGAGGGGGGAGAGAAGGTCGGGTGGACTGTTTGTTTGTTTGTTTTTGCCCCTTTTCCATCGTCTCTGCTTCCTGCAAGCTTCTTTCGGGCTACACTCAACTGGGCTCAGATCGCAGCCTGCAGAGTCCAAGTGGAGTCGGAGAAATTTGGCCCCGTTTTAATAGGGCTGGGGAATGAGCTCCGGAGGTCAATAAAGCCCTCCAAAAATGATGAATGATTGAGCACCTGTGATGATGATAGTGATTACCAGAGCAATTAAACAGTTTGATTAAATGAGCCATCATAACAATGATGTCTGCGGGAAACCGGCCCTCACATATAAAGATAGTGCGGAAGGCCTGGCAGAAGCCAGGGAAGTGCGACGCCAGGGAGCGGGGCTGCGGACCGCGAGGTGTTTGCTAGTGTGGCCTGAAAAGGGACGGCCGGGCACGCGGAGTTTTGGAGAGGAGGATTGTCCCAGGTTTTCAGCCACACTAGTGCCGGGCTTCAAGCCTGCGAGAGCCCACGGGTACGAAACCTGCAGGCTGGGGGAAGGGTTCTTCCCCCTCCACCTCCTCTTTTTTTTTTTTTCCCCCTAGAAGAAACTCCAAGATTAAAAGCATCCTTCTTATTTGTTACTGAGTTTGTCGTCGACGTATAAAAAAAGGTGAGTAACAAAGAAAAGAAGACGCAAAAGAAAAGAAAAAGTTGCCTTCCAGAATTTTATTTCGGGCGACAGTTACGCGAATTCAGTTTAGCCGGGGCGGGAAGGATGAGAGCCGGAGAAAAACCAATCTGGTCTCGCTGAGGATCGTTTTTGACTTTGCAGAGAGGTTTTGATATTGGTGGATCCAAGTTTCCCTGCAGCGCCGCTAGCTGAAAAGTTTATACTCATTTTTTCAGTTTTTATTCTTTTAATTGTTTTTTCAATCTTGCGTGTTTATTGTCGCCAATGGGGTTATTGTTGTACAATTCTGTTTTTAAGAAAGAAACTCAATTTCCTTGATAAACGCTTCTTTTGTAAAGAGTAACTTCGAAATGAACCTCTGCATCGCAGAGTTTAAAGATTCAACAGCCGCTCCCTTCTGCTACTTTTACCACCGCTTTTTTCCCCTCACAGTGATGCTGTGGAGTTAGAATCCCTACAGCGGCTATTTAGAAAAACTGCAAAAGTATATATTTAAAAAAACACCCTGTTTCTTGTAAGGCAATGCATCTGAGTAAAAACAATTTAGGCCAATAGATGATTTCTACATTTTCAAAGAGTTGTTAAGCTAATGATGGGTTGATTACTCTGTGATAATCTTGAGTTTTAGAAAAGAAAAAAGTTTAAAATCTATTTTCATATGTTTTCAACCTTTGAGTGATGCAGAAGGCGTTTTAACCTGGGAACTAACTCTCTCTCTTCCTCTTCCTCCCTCTCCTCTCTCTCTCTCTCTCTCTCACTCATATTCTGTAACTTCTTTTCCATTTTATTGAAAACATTAAAGCAAACAACAGGCACAACCTAGTTTGATGTAGGAAAGAGAGAGAAAAAGGACATTTTGAGATGCTGTTAAAAAAATATAAAACAATCTTTAACTCCAAAGATGTTAGTTAAGGAGTGTGAGAGTGTTAAAAATAACACCTTACTGGAGGAAATCTATGACATTTAAAAATTCACCAATTACCTAAAGGGAGAAACCGGAATTTCTTGCAATTTAGAGAGATTTCACTTACCTAGATGCATGTCATTTATGAAACTGTGAGTTTCAAATAGCATCACAATGCGGTGGATCACACACCAAATCATGCTGAAGGTGATTGGGTGCCGGTTCTTGATCAGCCTGATTAATTAAAAAAAACTATTACTTTTAATCACCAGTTTGCTGGTGTTTTGTATAGAGAGCTGAGAAACGTTTAAGAACTTCCTGGTCTCCCCGCTACCGTCAATGTTGCAGGCCGATAGAAGCGATTGCAAAGTGGTCGGGTGCAAGCACTTTCTGATGTCTAGCCTGATAGTACGTTGCTGATGCTCGGTTCTCAGCCTCCGCACCCTCACCCAGGCAGTGATGCTCATCTGCTCGCCAACATTTGGGGCAAAGGAAAAGTAGGTGGGGCAGGCCTGGAGACAGGCGTGAGATGGGGGTCGCAGGAGGCGGCACACACCTCCGTCAACAGTCAGCTCCTTTTGCCCAGGCTGGAAATGGTTTTAACAGGCGGTAAAATTTCATCTTTCGGTGTCAAATTGGGGTCATTTTGGGGTTAGAGTTCTCAGTGTCCGAGAGGAGCTGTCCAGCTGCGTGGGGACTCATTAAGTGCAAAAGATCTGTTTCAGTAAAAACAATTCAAAGACAATCAGAAGGCTAAAGACCCTCTACAAATCGCATTTTACAAGTGCCCCAGAACAAATATGGATGCTGAAACCTATTTCTTCAGAATCCCAAACCGTCTTCTTAGCTCTGGGGTGGGGGTGGGGGCACTGCATTAAAAAGAGGTGAAAGGGAGGGGACCTTGGTCCGATGGGGGTGAGCGGGAGGGAGAATCGGGCCTCTCAAATCTAAGAGTCTGTTTTTAATCACCTTTCTTACTGAAGCATCCCCAAGGTCTTTGAGAACTGCCTCTTTTCCATTTTTCCTTCTCTTTTTGGTCTCAACGTGGAATGCTATTATAGATAACAGTCAAGATTTTAAAAGAATATTGAATCTCGCTATATTTAATTTTAATTTTAAAAGGCATTGGCTTTATGGAGAGTATTTAATTTGAAATGAGTTTCATGAACCTAGACTCCATTTTTAGATGAGTTTGTCCATTTTCCTTAAGAAGCCTGTGTGCCTGTCTCTTTTCACCTTTATTTCCGCCTGGAAAGTCGTAGGTCCTCAGCACAAATAACTCCAAGTTCCTCAGAACCGTGAGGTCTGAAGTGGTAGTTGGTCAGTGTATTAAATCTCTGGATTTAAATCCATTTTGTCTGCTTACAACAGTTAGAACAATTGACGCCTTGCTAGAGGAGCAAATAATTCTAACCTTAATTATATTTGTAACTTCAGTTAATGTTTAGAATTGAAGTATTTTAGATTAAACAGATTTTTAAGGACTCTATGAGGTTAATTTTTTGTTTGTGGAGGTTCTGTTTGGTGGGTTGGAAGAAAGATATTAATTATTACTTTGATTCAAAAAAATTTCTTCAGGCAAAGGCAAATGCAGTTTAAAATGAGAGAAGCTAGGTGTGTGAGATACCAGGGGTCTAAGAACAAACCAAATCAATACTTTAAAGTAGAGTGTTATTTGAAAGTTTTCTTTCTTGCATTACTGACCTGAGCAAGTACAAAGGATCAAAATTTTATCCTTTCCCTCTGTTTGGACTCCACTTCTGTCAGTAGTTCTTCCCTCTTCATCTGCTTTACTGTCATTTGGGTTCCGAGGGCAGTGAATTTTTATTGTCCAGCTTTTTTTCTCCAAGTTTTATAGAGTATTTATAAATTTATTCAAGGAGCTTGATTGCCACCCTGCAGAAACAGCCCGGAACCCAGCATCGCAGGGGTAAAGGCAGAGGGGCTGTCTTCTGCTCCAGACCTGCTGGCTGACAGTTGGAATTTTTGATATATATTTTATTTGGCGTTTCCAATAACGTATTTGCCTCTCCCTCCTCACCCCCTTGCAGCCATCTACTTGAAAACATCTCTTTCCTCCAAACCTAGCTCATCCCTGTGAACTGTTTTTGACCTTCCCTCTAGCATAACCAACAGCTCAGGAAGTTGGACGAGGAAGGATTCCACTGCCATACCTGTTAACTTTACTCACTCTCTACCTAATCCGTATTAAGAGAGGGAAAGGGACCTTTGTTGGTTTGTTCTGTGGTCCTTTCTCCACTTGGGCTTTCTGCTATATACTTCCCATCCCCAATAAATAGAAATAGAACACCCCGCAATTTATCTTCCTAAATAAGATAGAGTTGAATCATTGCACTTTTTTTTTTTTGCTTTTACTCTCTCTTATTATTTCTTTCCATTTTAGCTGCTTTACCGTCTCGCAGAAGGCAAGCATTTCAATAAATAGCCCTCTAGCGCTATCTGGCGGGGCTCCAAACGCGACGTGCGCTGGCTCTCGAAGTCTCAGGCTCCTTCCCGCGCTCTCTTCCTCCCTCCCTTCCTTCCTCTTTTCCCCTCTCCTCCTCTTTCTCCTGTCTCTTCCTCTATCCCGTCCCCTTTTCCCTCTTCCCGCTGCTCCTTCTCTAGCTTCACCCTCACTTCCAGCGCCAACGGCTTGGAACAACCCGGTCAGAGGCTGATACCCGGGAAACTGGGTGATACCCTTTGGCGCTCCCACCTTCGCCCAGAGTGAACCACTCACAACTATTGTCCTTGATCAGAATTGTAATGTTTACGAAAGTGTTGCTTCAGTCTCAGTATCATAGCTGGTGGTGGTATGGAGGGTCTTAAAACTGTATTTGTGAAGTTTGGAGGAAAGAAATCAGACTCTGGAATCCCGGCTAGTGGAGCCCAGCTAAGTTTTAGATCCAGAGGCCAAGCCTCAGGGAGAGTTTGAGGAGAGGTCGGGCTACACAGGGGTGGGAACAGCTCCGTGCGGCGCCAGACCTGCGGGAGAGAACTGGCGGGGGCGCACCTGCCTTTCCCACGCCCGCTCAGGTCCCGCCCGCGGGATCCGCATATCACAAAGGACTGATCGACTTTTTGTCCTAGGCCTGTCCAGAATACCTTTTTCTTTTAAAACATGAACTAGCTTTATCCTCTCTCCCTTTCCCACCCCACCCGCCACAAACACAACAACTTTGATGAGAAGTTGGAAAAAAGTGGAAGAAAGCTCACTGGAAAACCCACAGGGCAACGAGGAGAAAGCCCAGAGTCAGGGACTCCGGAACGCACGCTTGAGGATGCGGTGCTAACCAGCATCCACGCTCTTTTCTCGCAGGGGTTTGTCTTCTGATTTGTGGCTTAAAACAACAACAACACAACAGTTAAAAAAAAAAAAGGACCCTAGCCCGTAAACCCTCAAGGGTATGTGGGGAGCAGTCAGAGGGGATGGGGCAAAGAAGAGCTTCAACTCTGCTGAGTGTTTTAGGTTTTCTCTCTTTCTCACGAGCGCGCGCGCGCGCACACACACACACACACACACACACACACACACACCCCGTCTGAGCCTTAGAGAGCTCTCCAGCCCTCCCTTTGAGCACATTGCTTCCATCAGTTTCTTGAAAACAGAGGAAAGAATATGGACCATGAGGCCTGGGGGAAAATTAGATTTCTCTAACTTTATTTCTGCAAATTTTGAAATTTAGCTTTGATCTTGCAAAAAGTGAGGACCATATCCCAGATACAAACCCAGTCAGTGACTACTTGCAGTGCGGGGACTTCAGCCTTGCAATGTTTGTGATCACCAAAGACCCCTTCTTAATTCTGAAATCCTCCCTACTACCTACCCATCTCAAAATCGAATAGAAAGAAGAGGGAGGGAGAATGATCCAATCACTGATTGGGTTCCTCAAACATCTCACCCCACCCTCACACTGAAGGAGGGCAGCACAGTTCAGGTGTAATTAATTGAGAACTGTTATTGGGTCATCATTAGCCAAGGTGCAAATAATTGCAACCCACTTTTACTTAAAACTGACCAGCCCCAGAGTGATAGATCGATTTGGAGTATAAAAATGATGTATCAAAACATCAATGTCGATTATTTGAAATATTGTAGTCAAATTTTTTTATTGCTTCATCGGTTAAGTGTCTGAAAGTGCAGTGTTCAAACATATATTTATGCTGTCAATACTGTCAGAACTGTCAGTTTTACTATTCTAGATTTGTACTTCACTTCAAATTTACTCATTTACATAAAATGCCCACCCTAGGATTTCCCCCACCCTCACGCCATCTCTCTCTTTCCTCCCATCTCTGGAAAATCCATGTCAGTTTCTTCAAAGGACTCAGCAATCTCAGCCTAAGCTAAAGTGTGCACTGCCTCTATTACTCAATTTTCCACATCGGATTACAGGTCTTTTTCACCATTTGTAACTTTCAAAGGGAGCCTTCCTCCTTTCTTCTCAGCTCTGCCTACTCCAGCCTTTTCTCTGAACACTGGAAAGCTTCAGTTTAAACATCCACATCTCAGCTGCAAATAGATCACTTCGGTAGAGAAACAGAAAAACCGCACTTCACTGCACCTCCTTGGCCGCACTCCTGTAAACTGGGCTGTGTTGCACAGACGTTCTCACACGTGTCAGGGCCCATCATCAAATTACCTGGAAGACTGAAATCTTCCAGGGAAAATGAACTTGGAACTATAATTACTTTTTCCTTCCTTTTTCCTTAAAAGCCGTGATAGGAGAAAAAGAAATAATACATATAAATGGGAGGTTTTACCTTTAAAAGCTTTGAACTCCATCGAAAGACACAAGTTGGAAGCAGAATTGACAGTTTTAATTCTACCCATTTTCACCTGGCACATCCGATCAGAGGCAATCGTTTATTTTATGGGAGGCGGGTGGAAGCTCTGGTAGAAAGCTTGAATCCACTGAATCCTAAATTGTAGGATAGGCGCTGTGCTAAAAATCACCGAAAAATGAAAGACATTTTTTGAAACAAACATTCCGTTGCTCCACACTCTGTGTCTGGAATAATTGAAATTTATAAATTCACATTCTGCCTAATTTTGTGTTCCCCCCTCCTCCCAGGATTCCCCCCAAGTCTGATAGGAAAGACAGGGTCACTCCTGGATGAGGGTTATGGAAATGTGTTTTCATTTCCATAACACTGAAGCACTTTTTATAAACCTTTTAATGTATTTAAATAAGTCTTTTTGGAAACCAAGAGAAGCTACGCATAGAGCGATCGCTTGGCTTTATACCTACAATCCCAGCATCAGAAAATAAAAAGATATCGGGAACCCAACGGAGAAAGTTGTTCACACACACCCTTGCCTTTGCCGAAAAAGCAGCAAAAGTTTCCTGTGTGCATCTGTATGTCTTTGTGTGCAGGTTTATAAGCATCTCCCTGTTCGTGTTTGCGCCTTACCTCCCTCTTGCCACGCACTCGAAGGCAGAGGCATCCAGGCATCGCCCCCAGAGAGCTGTGTTTACTTAGTTTTTAAAAAAGTCTCTGCACCACGTATGACAAGTGTTACTTCAAGAAATTCATCAACCTTCTACAGATACTTCCAGTGTTGCCGTAATGATCTGCAGAAGAGAACTGCCATCACTTTTTCACAACCCAAGGTGTTGCAGGAACTCAGAGAACAGAGGGAGAGTGGCTGAAACGCTAATTACAGCCGAGGGCGGGAGGCGGGGGGAAGGGGGCGGCGGCCAGAGTGGGGATCCAGGGAAGGCGAGTGAGGACGGTCCCTTACCTGGCCTGGGCGTGGGGAAAGTTTTGAATCCTCTGGGCGAATATTTGGAAAAAGTATGGTAGCCTTTTTTTCCCCTCTCTTTTAAATGCCTTTGGGGAGAAGTGATACCCTTGTGTAACAATTAGCTCAGACAATAAAAATAATTGGAAAAATCAGTTGGAACTTCTGAGTTTTTAATTACGTTTAATTTTGTACTAAGCCGTAAAATTACAAATGCCCCTCAATTAAACACTCCTCTTGTAAAGCGTTTAACAACAATTATTCCTTAATCAGTCTGAATGTGAGTCACAAATGATGCTTTTCCACATCAAAGGGACGTCCTTCCACGTTACCTTTTAGTCATAAGAGGATTAATTCCTATAATTAGAGGGATAAATATGTGCATAAATACCTCTCTTCCCTTCTCTCTCCCTCTCTCTCTCAAAAAAAAAAAAAATCACTTTCACTCTTCGAAACGCGGCCGGCTCCAGTCGGGTAAGGGGTTTTAATTGCCTGCCTCTGCCCGACACCCCTTGGCCGGCGGGCGACTGGAACCGAGGAGACGCGGGCGGACGCCAAGCGCAGACCCCCCGAGGGACACATAGGCGCGCAGGTTTATCCAGAAACGAACGCGAATCGGGCAGGAGGTGCGGAGCTGGGGGTCCCAGGATCCCCGCCAACTCCAGTGTGATGCTCCCCGGACCGTAACCCACCGCCCACTCTTGCCGCTGCCCAGAGAGGCGGGAGCGCTTTCGTCCTGCGGGTCCTCCAGTTCCGAAGAGCAGGGTCCTTGCCCTGAGCGAAGCTGCAGGTTCACTCCTCGAGCGACAAATAAAAATTGGGCATGACCTTTTAAGACTCCTGTGTGAATATCTCATTTACCTAATGACTTTATGTCACCTAGGAAGAAGGTCAATTTCCTCTTAACCTTTCCCCCGCTGCTGCAGTAAGCATTCTTCCCTAATCAATGGTGGCTGGAATAATCAATTCCCATTTTATGATCGCTGACAAACTCCGTTTCTGGGCGGGGTGTCAGCGCGGTGGGACGCGCTCGGGTCGGGACCGAGGTCCCTCTGGGGTCCTCCCGGCCCCGCCCGGCGCCAGGGGAAGCTGCTCTGTCTTCCGCCGAGTTCAGAGACCTTGGCCAACTTCCCTCCCCCTACCGCCGGCGTGACTTTTGAGTTGTCACTAATCCGAACCTGATATTCACCAGAGCTCCTTCGGTCACCGACTTAGCTCCCCGCTGCTGCCGCCCCCCCACCTCGCCCTCCCCCTCGGCGTGTTTTTATTTCAAAGTCTGCAGGCGGCGATTGCCCGGCCCTGAAGGAGTGTGAGTCTGCGGGGGGGAGGATGTGCGCGCGCCAGCGCGCGCTTGCTTAAGTTTCATTTACATCTAAAAAATTATTTTTGCCTTCTTCAGCGTGAATCTCACAGCTCTTTCACTCTGTCTCAGCCCTGCTAACTTTGCATAAACAAAGCAACAACAGAAGCTCAGAGTGGGTGGATTCATGTGGATACGAAGTTAACTGGCAGAGTTTCCTTCTCTCTTCCCTCCCCTTTTTCTCCCCCCCCCCATTTCTTTCCCCCTTCTTACCTTCCTTCTCCTCCGCCTCCCCTCCACAATACCCAATTATCCTAAAACACAGGTTTATTAGATGCCACTTTGCCCCTATTTTCAGTTTCCCAGTCAAGAAAATTACTAAGTCAAAGCTATTTGGAAGTGAATTTGAGGTAAGTTCACCACTTCTTTATCTTTGGAGGACCTAAATATAAGCCCCTTTCACCTTCCAATCTCTCAAAAGGTGTAAGTTGACTTTTACACACAGGGGACTGTTTTGAGGAGAGGGATCTCTTAGCATTGGTTCTCCACAGGCCCCTGGAATTTCCTTCCCCTCATTCCACCCTAACCCCATTTTCACTCACTACCAAGACGTTATGGAGCTGCTGAGGAGTAAGTATAAAACAATCTAAACACTGCTTAGGAAAATCACTTTTCTTGGAAAAGGGGATACCAGGTTGTTGTTTCTTTGTTTGTTTGTTTTTGAGATTTCTTATCATGAACCAGCTAGTTAAAAGTGAGCGCCACAATTAACTTTTTATCCCAAGAGTATTCTCTCAGGTTGTGTTGATTGCCTTTGAAAAGTAATTAAAATGCTCTTTCTTCTTTTTTTTTTTTTTATAATTTAGAGGCAAATGACCCTCATTTAAAAAAAATTTATTTATTTACTTTTAGAGAGGGAAGGGAGGGAGAAAGAGAGAAACATCAATGTGTGGTTGCTGGGGGCCATGGCCTGCAACCCAGGCATGTGCCCTGACTGGGAATCGAACCTGCGATGCTTTGGTTCGCAGCCCGTGCTCAATCCATTGAGCTATAGCCGGGGCTTTAAAGATTTTATTTATTTATTTTTAGAGAAAAGGGAAGGGAGGGAGAGCAACATCAATGTGTGGTTGTCTCTCATGCCTCCCCTACTGGGAAACTGGCTTGCAACCCAGGCATGTGACCTAACTGAGAATCAAACCAGCAACCATTCGGTTCCCAGGCCTGCACCCAATCCACTGAGCGACACCACCCAGAGCTAAAATGCCCTTTTCTTAGCTCATAGCACCTCTCACTCACGGTCACACCTTCTGCTCAATTTGGGAAGTCTGTCAAACAAAACAAAAATGGAATGATTCTACCTTAAAAGGTGGAATAAAGGGTAAAACATCTATTCTGGTGTAAAAAGAGGCAAGGGAGGGAATTTGAACTCAATGTGAGGCACATCTAGGCCAAACACTCACTGTCCACCCACAACAGCCTTCTGGAGTACTATTAATGACAGAGATGGCTGACCCAGTCACCACTCCAGGCTGCCTGAAACAGGACGTTCAGTTCTTGCCTTGATCCTGAAGGTGCCAGAGTTGTGACCTCTGAGAGGCAGTGAGAACAGGCCAGGCTCAGGACCTGACCGGTGATGGGGTTGGGCCAAGTTCCCAGTATTGTCACTTCCCTTCTTGCTTTGTACGAGGAAGTACATTTGCAAGTCCAGTTGAATTAGGTTCTGGATTTAAATGGGCATTGAGGGCTGGTCCAGCCCTGAGCTACAGTTTATAATAGCCTGGCTTCTAAAGGATTTCTTTCTTTCTTTCTTTTTATAAATTGTTGTTCAGTTATAGTTGTCCCACCTTTTCCCCCTGTCACTCTCCCCTGCCCCGCCTCACCTGCCACAGGCAATCCACACCCCATTGTCTGTGCCTGTGATTTGTTTCACATCCCCAGCAGCTATGTACAGACTTTAGGGGATCACAGCTTGTTTGTAGGTCAGGATGTGCTTGTAGGGGAAGAGCTCTCTGTTAATAAGAGTCCTGAGTAGGTCTTTTTATCTCTCTTTGACAGAGGAGCAGACAGATTGGGGATGGGCCCCTTGACCTGAGATAATTACTATTATAGTCTTCCTTCTTAAGCAAATTTAATTCTTGCACAAGGAATAATTAACTACCTCTGACTACTCACTCTGCGAGAGTTTCCTTTCTTTTTCTTATCTTATGGACTCTCACTGGGACTTTGAAGAATATGTTTAATACTAGTGTTCAGTTTCACTTCACGGAAACATCTCGTAGTCTGCTCACTTCTTCCCCAGCCTCCCGGAACACCTGTAGCAGAGTTTTGGGCTGTGCTCTAATTGTCGCACATGAAATAGAACACCCCAATCATCAGTTCACTCCCTTCTTCATTCTCCACACTACACACTAGTTTACTCTTTGGAAGAGAAAAATCTTTTAATTGTGCTTAATTTAGAGAGCATGTCAGAAAAATAGATTTTTAAAAAATTTTGGGTAATAAAATAACACTATTCTATCCTTGTGACTGTCTCACAACTCTGTCCCTTCCAGTGTCTCAATAAAAGTTAGTTATAAATCAAAATTATATGTCAGGATATAAACCGTAAATATGTGAACAGGAAGGACCACACAGAGCACACCAGCTTTTCAGAGGTGCATGAGGTCTCTAAAAGGCTCACGCCCTAAAGTGGAAAGACATCTCTTTCAAGCACTCCCAAGGGAGAAGGTTAAATTGGATCACTTCTGAGGCTGTTTCTAACCCCAGGAGGACAAAAAGGGACTCTGGTCTGAGGAGCAGTCAGGAGCTAAGGCCCTGGACTCTGACAGAAAGGGGCTGAATCCTGGTCCTATTCCGTGCTAATTGTGTGATCTTAAGTGAGCCACTTAACCTCTTTGAACCTCAGTAATCTCATGTATAAAATCAGAATAACTACGCTCAGTGTTATTGGGTATGTTCTGTTGGCCCCTCCATATCCATTCTTCACTTATTCCCATCCTGCTCTATGGTCCTGGTGCTGGTGTGGATGGTGTCAGAATGCTCCCTTGGTCCTTGCTTTCTGTTGGGTTTTTCCAGAATGAAGAGAGTGAGCTCTGAGTATTGATCACAGAGTCTGTGGACCGGCTGCACCCCAGCCACAGCTGGAGCAGCCCTCTGCACAGAGCTCTGTCTGGGTTCAGGCAACCACTTCCCTCTCCATTACTAACCTTGGGGCACTGCCCTGTCCCTTGGAGTTTCCTAACACCCCACTCACACCTTTTCAATATAGTTTCTTTATGAAGCACTCCTCAAATTACCCTGCTGGGCCTTGATTGATACACCTTCTAAACTTGTTTGGAAGATTAAAATTAATTGAGATAATATGTAAAGCACAAAGCACAGTTGTTTGTTGTTGTTTTTTTTTTGCATATAGGAAAGGTTTAATAAACAGAACATTGAGTTATTTTCTAAGGTAGTTGTTATCTGTTGCAACCTCCTCCTTTTATACACGAGGAAACAGAGGCCCAGTGACTAAGGTATGAATCCAAAGTCTAATTAACTCAAGATAGTAAAACTGTGGGGCCAAGTCCCTGGACTAGCAGTTCCCAGTTCACTGCTCTTTCCACAGCAGCTTGCT